TAAATGTTTATGTGTCTTCGTCCAGGTTTAGCTTTCTCCATCAAATGTTAAAAGACTGGAAGATATTTAATTCATTTGTTTGTAGATGTAGGATCCGGAAGGGACGGAGTTGATTGTTTATTGCATTTGGATTGAAGGAGTCAAGATTTTGGAGGCAAAAATCGCAAGGAAATGATAAAAAATTCCTTTTCAAAAATTTTATGGACACTTTCTTAGAAGTCGCCAAATTAGATATCTTACCGTTAGAAAAGTGAAACTAACACTGAAGAAACAACGAATGCTTTCTGAATAAAAATTCAATTCATAAAACTGTGTGTTAGGTTTATCTAGTTTATAATTGTAAGTTTATTATCCTTAGCATAGAACTCAATGCATTGAAATTTCGTTTTCTATAGATATGATACTGGACAAGATTAAGTTAAGATTTTCGATCATCCACACAAAACTGTGTGTTAGCTTATCTAGTTTGTAATTGTAAGTTTCAAATTATATAAAAGTTCAACTTTTTTTTTTTTACTTTTTTTTTTNGTGCGATTGTATCAACTACTGGTTTCCCAAAAACTCCCCTGTTTCCACCAATAGAACACAATAATGTGGCCATGTGGGCTACATTCGTAAGGTCAAAAGAGAGATTTCGTATCCAATCCATCAATCTGCTGTAAATGCTGACAAAAGAAAAGGAAAAAGCAGCAGTAGCAAAGCTTTAATCCTGACCGTCCGATTCCTGACTCCCTGTCCTATAGTACAATCAATACATCTACTAGCAGGACTACTGGACTAGTGAACCTCATATTTTGAAAAATATGTATATATTTTTTTTTTAAAAAAGATATAATATAAATTTTTGTTTAAAATTTAATAAGCTAAAATTCGTTTAATTGTTATGTCCATAGTTTTTAAACTCGGCCATGTGATCGACCCAGGCAGGTCCTTGGGTCATTGGGTCACCGGGTCACCGGTTCAACCGTCGAGTCACCGGGTCAATTGCTGAATCGGATAATTAATTTTAAAATTTTTAAAATTATATATATAGTATTTTTGTTATATAAATATATATAAAAGTAACAAAATTAAATATTTTTTGTATAAAATTTGTATATTAAAATGTTAATAATATGTATTTCATGATAAATATTTACCATAAAAACATATATACATAGTTTTATTTTTAAAAAATAAAAAAATATAAAAAAATATAAAAAAATATATATGGACCGGGTCAACCGAGTTGACCCGGCCGAGTTGACCCGGCCGAGTCGGCCGGGTTTTGATCGGATTTGACCGAGTCCTTGGTTGCCCGGTCCAAATACTCCACCCGGACCGGTTCCAGCTCCGGATCGACCGAGTCCCGGGTCGACCCGCCGGTCCGGTCCGGATCACAAAACAGTGGTTACGTCAATCTCCCGAGTCCAAATAGTATTCACAACTCTGCATCTACATTTTTATTCAGACAATATTGAAATATCGAAATAAATTAATAATTCACCCTCAGCACAGTACACAGACACGCACCCTATTATTTTTCCAAGCATTTATACTTTATACGACTTTATGTGCCGCGCAAAAATTTCCCTTGTTTAGAATTGTGTGTTTCACACTTCCACTTCACTCCGTGGGTCATTGGCATCTTGAACAAAAGGGCACTTTCTTTTACATCGCTCAACGTTCCCAAACTAAAGAACCTATTAAGTTGGGAAAGCTAAAGAAAGTTGGAGAGAGACTAAATGGGCTTAGTGTTTCTTGCTGTTGTCTTGATGCTGGTTTCTGCTTCTGCTGATGAAGGTTTCTTCTTTTTTTTTTTTATTCGTTTTTTTCTCTTTGAAGTTTCTTCGGCACCATTCGTTAGTTGTTTATTTGTTCTGGATTTTGTTGCTCGCTGCTGTATTATATGTGCTGTTAATCCTTACTATGTTAAGCCTTACTAGGTTTCTGCTTTCATTGTTGGTCTGTCCACTGTTTGAATATTTTCTTTAAAATGGACTATTAGTGGATAATCCCTCGCGAGTTCTGCTTTTAGTTTAGTGGCAGTGGGACAATTGTTTTTTTTGTGTAACCAGGTAAAATTGGCTGCAATTTCTCATAATCTATTAGGGGATTGTATTGCTTTTGCACTATAATGTAGATTTGTTGTTTATTTGGAAAAAAAACGGTTCGTGCTTGCTAAAGTTTCCAAGGATGTTTTTTATTCTGTATTACTTCACTGTGAACCTCTGATTTGTCTTTATGCATATTAGAATCTTGCTGTATTGCTAACCAGCTCATGTTTTTGTTTTTTCTTTTGGACATTTTAATAAAGTACATTTTGCACAAAACAATACTATAATGGGAGGAACATACATGGTCTTTACCCAGGTTGGATTCAATACATGTTGGTTTGAAGGACTGTTTTGTCATTTAAGTTTGTCATCTGAAATGTCAGCATGTGACCCTTTTGGGTTGGCAGGGTTTATTTCAAATATTGCCTTTGTTTTTCCACATGGCCTGCATCAAGTGCTTGCTATGTTGGCAATGATATGTATTGTGGTGATAACAAAAAGGGAGTTGTGATAATAAATGTCAGTTAATGGAAATAACTGCAGTTCTAACTAATCTTTTACCTTGTTTCTACTTCCATTTGAAACATGGAAATGCTTTGTAAACGACTTGAAATTCTCTACCCAGTTATGCTGTGAAACTGTGTTATTTTTCCATTGATAGGATGTGAACATATTAATGCGGAAAGTATAATCTCTTCCGTAAGATAACTCGATATGTTTCATAAACGAGATGTGATTTAGTTGTGCTGTACATTTGAATTTAGTAATTGTTGATATGGAACCTTCCTTTTGAGACCTAAGAATCCTCGAGTGGCTCTTGCATATTGTTTGTGTTAGTTTGCCATCGGAATTTATGTTTTCTGAAAAGAATGATCAGGACAGTACAAAACAATATGGATCTATGACTGTCATGGTATTCAATATTCATGAAGATACAAGTGACCTAACTTATGTGATGATATATTGGAGGTTTATAGATAATCTCTTGTTCTATTGAATCGAGTTCTCTATATGTGTAGTTTTGGTCGATCATATTGCATCATTCTCAGTTGAGTCGTTAATTGCTAATCTGTTTCTTAAGTTGTTTAAGATGCATACATACAACACATTTTGAAAATCTTATAAGCTCCTAAAGATGCATGTAATATCTTGTGAGCTTCCAAAAGAATTTAGTATACTTCATATGCTAGTAAACTAATTCCATGATCACCAACCTTTTGTCAGGCCCCTTCATCGGCGTCAACATCGGGACGTCCCTCTCCAAACTCCCCACCCCATCCCAAATAGTCTCCCTCCTCCAAGCACAACAAGTAACCCACGTGCGCCTCTTCGACGCCGATAGCTCCATGCTCCGCGCCCTCGCCAACACATCGATTCGCGTGGCGGTCTCCGTCCCCAACGAAGACCTCCTTGCCATCGGCCAGTCGAATGCCACCGCCGCCAACTGGGTCGCCCGCTCCATCCTCCCTTACCTCCCCCACACCGACATCTCCGCAGTCTGCGTCGGCTCCGAAATCCCCACTTCCCTCCCCAACGCGGGCCCCGTCCTCGTCCCCGCCCTGCAATCCATCCGCTCAGCACTACTCTCCTCGGGCCGCGGGGCCCGCAACATACTCGTCTCCACCCCTCTCCCTTCCTCCCTCATCCTCGACGCCTTCCCTCCTTCCCAAGCCTTCTTCAACCGCACGTGGACTCCCGTTCTCCTCCCCCTCCTATCGTTTCTGCAGTCGACTGGCTCGCCGCTCATGCTCAACGTCTACCCGTACTACGACTTCATGCGTGCGCGCGGGGGAATTCCACTCGACTACGCGCTTTTCGAGCCGTTGCCCCACTCGAACGAGGCTGTGGACCCCAACACGCAGCTTCGCTACACCAACGTTTTCGACGCCGTGGTCGACGCGGCCTATTTCGCCATGGAGTATTTGAATTTCACGAATATACCGATTTTGGTCACCGAAACGGGCTGGCCTTCGAGGGGTGGGCCCGACGAGCCCGACGCGACTACCGAAAACGCGGCGATTTATAACAGCAATCTCATTCGCCATGTGCTGAATGGGACGGGGACTCCAAAGCACGCGAGGGTTGGGTTCGGGACTTACATTTACGAGCTTTATAATGAGGATCTAAGGCCAGAGCCTGTTTCGGAGAGAAATTGGGGTCTTTTCACGGGGGATGGGGTGCCGGTGTACTCGCTGAGGCTGGCGGGGTCGGGGACGGTTTTTGCGAATGATACGATGAATCAGACTTATTGTGTGGCGAGGAAAGGAGCGGATGAGAAGATGCTGCAGGCGGGCTTGGATTGGGCCTGCGGGCCTGGGCGGGTGGACTGCTCGCTGTTGAAGCCTGGTGGGCCGTGCTATGAGCCTGATACTGTGGTGGCGCATGCGTCGTATGCGTTTGATGCGTATTATCAGAGGATGGGGAAGGGTGTCGGGACGTGTGACTTCAATGGGGTGGCAGCTGTCACGACTACGGATCCAAGTATGTTAATATGTGTTATATTATGAGTGCTGAGATATGGTATGATTGTAGAAACAATCCATGAAGTTTTAGATTAGTTACAAAAAACAGAAATGGGAAAAAAGTGGTTTGTCTTTTAAAATTACTAAGCCGCTCCTTTTATATTGGCATGTGTCAAGAGCATTGCTGGATATATTTTGAACTAGGTTATTCTGAAAAGTGGTTTTTGTTGTTACTACATTATATAATCGATGAACGCCATGTAAAGTTGGGAAATGTGAAGTATTTGAACTAAGGTAAAAGCTAAATTCCATTAACATTTTGAAAGACTGAACTGGTAGAAAAGTTTCGTCAGCTAAATATATCTGCAAGTAATTTATGTGATTTTGCTTTTAGTTTTTGTGCTAGAATATATGGAGTGCTTATCTTATGAAATACTTTTTCTCATGCAGGTTATGAACCTTGCGTTTATCCTGGAAGGTAAGCAATCATTCATTTGCTAATACTGTTCTAATCAAATTTTCGATGCGGTTTTGATTAACTTTTGCCATCTCGTTGTTGACAATTTCGCGACATTGTAGCACTAATGTTGTTTTCAAGCTTGCTTTCTCCTAATAATGTGTGGTTCTTTTTCTTACTCTGTTGCGTGCAGTGGTGGAGTAAACGGCACTTTTCCAAATAGCACAGCACTTGCCCCATCATTTAACTCTACTGTATCTGGTTGCCCTTCTGTGTTCTTGTGCATTGTAGATTTGTACATTCCCTCTGCAGTTCTGGTTGTTGTACTCTGGGCTACCATATACTTGTAACGAGGTCAACATTCATAATTAAACAATTTAAGGCCACGGAGTGTTTAAAATTCCTTGAGGAGATGAGTTCAGTGTGCCCAATTTTGTTTCGTGAATGGGTGTTAGGGCAAGAACTGACGGTCTTTGTGGAAATTTACTTTAAGAGGGATTTGATTCTGAAGTGATTTCATTCAATCTGTACAATATAATCAGTTTGAAGATTTAGATGATGATGTTGTCATTACTGTTTCGGCAAAATGCAGGTTCTACTTATCAACAGAATCAGTTGAAGATGTTTCAAATTTAACCTGAGGTATTGTATCATTTCAAGGGGAAAAAAAATAGTTAGTTTGCTCTAAAAGTTGCAAATACATCCCTGATAAACTGTATTGAGCTTCAGGTTAATAGATAGAGGCTAAATTGCATTTTTAGTCTTGCTGGTTTAACGTCACAACATTTTTAGTTCTAAGATTCTAACATTTTGTTTTTTGGTCCTATGATTTAATGTTTTGTTGCAATTTCAGTTATCTGAAATTGTAATAAATTTTCAAATTTATAGAATTTTTATTAGCAACTTAAGTCCTATAATTGAAAATTTTGTTGCAATTTCAATCTTGTTGTTTAGAATATTGTTGCAGATTCAGTCCTTTGAGGATCGAAACTGTAGTAAAATATTAAATCATAAGATCAAAAACCAAAATGTTGGATTAACATGTAACATCTCATGAAAGTAGTCACTTTTAAGGTTAACTGCTCTAATATAAACGTGAAAGACCCAAAAAAATTTCAATCGAAATCGAAATGGCAAGCATCACATAGAAATCCCGATGAACCCGAAACACTAATAGCCCGCTCATCACCATGCCTTTTACAATATGGCTTGTTGCAAAAATTACACTTTGGCAGCCTAAGCCAGCAATTTAAACACAATATGTCCGAACACAAAGCCTCTTCATGTCCCTGCATGCTCGAGATACACACACCACACTCAACACATCTAATAATGCAATTTTCGCATCCCTTACATTCTCTAACTTGTTTATGCCACTTCCTTTGGCAAAGGTTTTGCGGGCAGTCGTACACAATTCCTATTTGATTGCATTTGGGACATGCATCGACGTCTATTGGCTCATCACTCTTTATGAGTTGGAGGGTCGAAAGGCTTTTGTATTTGTGATATAATAAGGTCATGGGTGTGTGGAGATGTGTTTGATCGATTAGAGTACTAAGTGTTTCGAGATCTTGTTTACGAATGCCGTAAACGCCATTGATTTGGAGGCTTTTTAGTCGGTGGTTGTTTTGGGAGATGAGTTTCACAGCTTTAATGATTCCTTCTGGAGTTAGGCTCGTGCATCCTGGAACAAGAAGCTAATTACACGAAAAAAAAAAAAAAAATCATAAGAAGAAGAAGAAGAAGAAAAAACATCAATAAATGAAATGAGATAGTGTGCCACTTTAAATTCAATTGTAGTTTTTAAGAGTTTTCTGCATTTGTTTGTTGTTGGTTTAAATCTCAGGGGTTTTTGTAATGATCTCTGTAAGTTGGAATTAACCAAGTAAAAATTTCATTGTGATCAAACACGCTTTGGGAGTATCTCCAAAGTAAAAACTTCAATTTTAAATTGTCAAGACACAAAAAAATAATCAGAAAGAAGATCAGCCAACCAAAACCAATCCTTATCCAAATTTAATGTACTAGTTTGAAATCTGGTTTCTATTCTATCCTCAACAAACAATTCTTGCTTTCATACAAATGGAATTCATGCAATCAAATCATAACGAAAGCTAAAAAAAATAAAAAAATAAAAAAAACTAAACTACCACTTAAAATGACTACTTTGCTTTTTCTTCTTCTTCTTTTTCATTTTTTTTTTCTTTCTTCCCCTTTTATTTTTACTTAAAATGGATATATGCATACCTTGCTGATATGGGGATTTTGAGCAACAACCCTCAAGAGCCCATCATCCGTAATCTTCACACAATTGATCAAAGCAAGAACTCTAAGCCTCCCTTCGGCTTTGGAAGTTATTTTCGTTAGAATTTCATCAGATAGACGCCAATTGAGAGGTGGGCCAACGATGAGTTTCAGCCATGGGAGTATGTCGTTGTTTATGGCGTCTCTAAGTGATTTGCAAACTCGGGCCATAGCCAAAAGCTCAAAGAGAGGAAGATAAGCCAACACAAAGAAAATTGCTTCATTTGGTGGTGACCCTTCTTGTAAACGAGTTTTATCCTCTTTGTCATCCTCCATGAATAATTACACTTACAAATGTTATTGAGGAAAAAAAAAAAAAAAAGAGTTTGGAATTTCTTGAGTTGTGTGGATGATCCTAATGATGGCTTTAGTCACCAAAAATAAAGAAGAGCCTCGAGAACAAGATAAGATCAAGCCAAATTCGTTTTGTGAACATGTTTGAGATACATCGGGGTCTTTTTGTAATTTTTATAAATACTTGGAACCTTTTAAAATTATAAAATAAATTACACCCAGATAATTTTATTTTTTCTAATTCTCAACAGCCATCCGTATTTCTTTCCCTACATTTTCTTTTTTCGAAACGGCTAATAATATATATTGATCTCCTCCAACAAAATTTGTACAATAAAACGCGCCCAGAGGCATTTGCCTTGGCTGTGAAACATAGCCAAGTTACAAAACATAAAAAACTCAAAAACTACAACACTGAAATATGTACAACTTGACCAAAAGAGCATATACACAAACTACATAACCAAAAGAGCATATACACAAGCTACATATTAAACAAAGACTAAAGAAGTTGGGAAGGCTTTCAACCACTGAGCAGCTATGGCAGCTCCTAGCTAAAAGACCTCACCAAGAACACTTGAAATTGCTGCACATGGAGGCTCACCACTGAATAAGAATCCCTAGCAGCCTTCATCTGCAGCATCTCCACAAAAATAAGAAAGAAAAACAGCCAAAATGATCTGTTGAAGGGAATCATGATATAACATAAAGAAATCAGGCTGCAGTGATGGAAGATTCCTCAAATTCTCTCCACTCAAACCATGCTCTTTTTGTTATATCAGCTTCAGACATCCAATTTTTATTAAAAAGCCAATTGTTGCGTGTTTTCCATAGCCACCAAAGGATTAAGTTGAGAAGTGAACTCTATCTTGAATGCACTGCACCCTTTGAATGTGGCATATTTCAGACCACCAATATTAGAAAGAATCTGTAAAATTATAAATCCCATTCCAGTCTAATCCTGCCAGTTTCCAGACTATTATGGCTCGAGGACAGTGGAAAAATATATGCTCCAGGGATTCTTTATCTTCTCCACATATGCAACAAATTGGATCTACCAGCATGCCTTTTTTGCTCAACTGATCTGGAGTGCTTAGAAACTTAAACCAACACCTCCAGATAAATTTTTTTAATTTCTGCTTTATTTTCAGTGACCAGGTAAATTTCCATATTTTTTTCTCCATGGTCCCATTTTTACTAGATTCTAGCTGTTGAAAGGAACACATTTTTGTTTTGAGAATAGTAGGGTAGGCAGACTTGACTGAGAATTTACCTTTCTTGTCAGGCAACCATTTCCATCTATCAGATTGAACATTTCTGTCCAGAGGGATGTTAAGAATATGTTTGGCTTCTTCAGGGCTAAAAGATTTCTCAACAAGATGAATATCCCAGGAGTCACCAGAATGAGTCAATAAATCACTAACCTTTTTTAGCCTGTTAGAGTCAGAAGGAAATGATGTTGAAGGAGTGAAATTTACCAGCCCTGAGACCCATGGATCAAACCAGATGGAGATGTCTGTGCCATTGGCAACTGTTTTAATGATCCTGCCTTTTAAGATAGGTCTAACCTTAAGCCAGAAACTCCACAGCCATGAATCAGATGCTTTGGACTGAGCTTCCCAGAGAGTAGTGGAAGGGAAATATTTGCCTTTTAGTACTCTGCTCATAAATAATTGTGGCTGTGAGATAATTCTTCACAATTGCTTAGCCAGAAGAGCATCATTAAAGGGTATTAAACATTTAAATCCCAGGCCTCCATGTTTTTTGGGTAGTGCCAGCTTCTGCCATGTTGCCCAGTGGATCTTGTCTCTGCCATTTTCATTAGAGCCCCACCAAAAAGATGCACAAAGCCTGCAAATGTCTTTACAAACTGCAAGAGGGAGCTTAAAACAAGACATGACAAAAGTTGGCAGGGCTCCAATCACAGAGTTTAACAAAATAGCTTTGCCTGCTTCACTAAGAAAAATATTTTTCCAAGAAGATAATCTTTGAATAACTTTATTAGTAACAAAACTGAAAGTATCTTTTATGGATCTGCCTAGCCCTAAAGGTAGTCCTAAATATCTGGTAGAGTGGACAATATTAATACCATTTAAGATGGACACAATATCAGCCTTTACAGAATGAGGGGTGTTCTTGGAAAAAAAAAAATAGAAGACTTTTGCAGATTTACTTGCTGACCAGAGTCCAGCCCATATAACCTGAGAATAGTGAAAATCAAAAGGGCATGAGAAGTATCTACTTTGCAAACGAAGATAGAGTCATCAGCAAAAAAGAGGTGAGTGACAGGAGGAGATGATTTACTGATTCTAATGCCTTGAAAAGAGTACAAAATTGAAGTCTGCTTAATGAGGTTTGATAGGGCTTCTGATATAATAATAAAGAGATATGGGGAAAAGGGGTCCCTTTGTCTTAGACCTCTAGATGGCTTCAACAAACCAAGAGGCTGCCCCAAAATATTGAAAGAAAAAAAAAGATGTGCAGATGCAACAGAGAATCCAAGAAACAAAAGTAGAACAAAAGCCCATTTTTTTACATATAGCAGCAAGAAATTTCCACTCTACTCTATCAAAAGCTTTCATCATATCTAATTTGAGGGCCATAAAACAATTTTTGCCATTTCTTTTACTATTCAAAAAGTGAATGCATTCATTTACAATAACAAAATTGTCCATAAGCTGCCTGCCAGGAACAAATGCGGCTTGATGAGGGCTGATACAAACAGATAGAACTTGCTTCAGCCTATTGGCATGAATTTTAGAAATAATTCTATAAGTGACAGTGCAAAGACTTATAGGTCTAAATTCAGAAAGAGATTGGGCATTTGGCTTTTTAGGAATAAGGGTAATAACTGTGAGATTAGTATCTTTAGGCATTCTACCAGTAAAAAAAAAGTGCTAAATAGCTTGAAGTAACGATTCTTTGATATTGTTCCAAGAAGACTGAAAAAAGTGAGGGGTTATACCGTCAATTTCGGGGGCTTTATTTGGATGCATTTCCCACAAGGCTTTCTTAAGCTCTTCCATGGTCACAGACCTCACCAGTCTGTTGTTCATTTCTTCAGTAATTGTGCATGGAATTCCCTCAAGAGAGCACCATTCCAAAGTGGGGTTGGATGAGGTGAACAATTCAGAGAAATATGATTGAACTTCTTCAAGGATTTTATCTGAGTTCTGACACTTGCTGCCATCTCTTTTAAGAAGTCCCTCAATGCTGTTTGTTCTCCTTCTTTGCTTCACACAAGCTTGGAAGTATCTCGTGTTCTTATCCCCCTCTTTCCACCATAGGCATCTTGATTTTTGAGCCCAGAATTTCTTCTCCTCTGCATAAGCCTGATGCAGCTTCCTTTTTGTTTCCTCCCATTCTACCCAATTTTTGTGGGGTCCTTGTAGGTGCTGATCATTTAACTGAGCTTTGAGAGAATCAATTTCTTGTTGAGAATGGCTGATCATTGATTTTTTCCACTTTAGTAGTGCAATTCTAACATTTCGAATTCTGGCCTGAATACTGTACAAGTCAACTCCAAAAGAGTTCAAATTCCAGGCCACAGCCACTGTAGCAGAGAAGTCTTTTTTAGACACCACCTTGAATCAAAATATAATCTTGGATTTGCTTTAACTTCCTCACAATCAGAGTTCATAAGAAGAAGACAATGATCTGATGAATGAAGAGGAATGTGATTAACCTAGGATTTGGCGAAGGTTACAGCCCACATGGGGGAGATAAAAAACCTGTCAATCCTCTCTTCAATGAAATCCTCTCCTTGCCGGTTATTGTTCTAGGTGAAAGGATGTCCTATGAAGGGGACATCTTCCATTCCCATTTCTTGAATAAAAGAATTAAAAGCTCTAAGGCCACCTGGACTCCTAACATTTCCCCCTCTCTTTTCAGAATTTGAAACAATATCATTGAAGTCACCACCTAAAAACCAGGTGTGACCCCATTGAGGCTTATCACTACATAATTGAAGCCATTGCTCCGCCCTAATGGACCAACCCATACTGATACTATTGCCAAAAGAAAAAAGAGACTTGGATACAGAATTGAGAAGGAATGATTGTTATAATATGAATTTTGTCGGACCAACAGAGGAATAATCCTCCTTTAGATCTAACAGGATCAACAAAACACCATCTATCAGCTAGTTTTAATTTTTTACAGACAGTACCCATAAATTTTTTGTTTTTTTGACCTCAGAGAGGAATGCAAAATCGGGGAGGTGGGATTTTAAAATCTCCTTGAATTGGGAAATTGTAGAGGGTCCTCCCAGACCTCTACAATTCCACACCGATACTTTCATTGGGAAACTTGGGACCATTTATGGCTGGTATCCTCCACCACATTTGGATTCTCAGGAGTTTGATTAAAGATTAAAGGCTGAGATTGAGAAATCTTACATTTTTTGGTTTCAAGTGATGTCAAGGGATTATAGGTAGGATCTTCAGGAAGGGCCCTTTTGTTGTTAATATTGAGAGGTGTGTTTTGATCCAGTATCTCCATTTCAACCAGCATATTTTCAGAGGAGGGTTTTCTATTGATTATGACAGGTCTCAGGGGTTTTATATTTTTATGTGGATCAGAGGATTCAGAGGGTTCAGGTTTGTTGTTGTCAGGTGGTGAGTTGAGGATGGGAATGTCTACTAGAAGCGGGGTGATATTTGTATTGTGGTTGATGTTCTGTATAGATGGGTGCTCAGTAATCATGATATTTTTAGTAGAGAGTTCAGGATAGGAGATATTGGTTCAGGGGTTTCTATGTTGGTGAGAGTTTTTGTTGGACTGGAGGTGGGGCTTTTATTAGATCCCTTAGGCTCGTTCGATTTGCCTGCAATGTTGTTCTTATCAAGGTTGCTCTTAGAATGGATCTTATCTCTACTTCCTAAGAAATTTCCTTTCAACCATTCTCCAAACTACGCAGGTTTTAGCATACTTCTCTTGATATCTTCCTTCTTCTGTTCACAGCCTCTGTCACTGTGTCCTATCTTTCGGCAATAGTAATAGAATGTCTGCAAATTTTCGTATCTGAAGTCCACCCAGACAACTTCTTTGCCCAGAATAACGTTTGCACCCCTAAGCAGGGGTTCATTGAGCTTAACTGGAACCATAATTTTTAGCCATCTTCAATTTAAGCTTCTTGCATCTGGTATGTACACATCTGTGGCTTCCCTAAAAAGTTTCCCTATTCTCAAGCCTGTGTCCGGTGATACCCAATGTAGCAGAAGGCCGTGAATTTGCGTCCATAGCTCTACATGTTCCATTTCATCCCAACTAACATTAGCAGCAGACCATTCTTTCAGGATCAAATATTGGCCATCGAAGCTCCAGGATTTTCCTTTCAGAATTTTCTGCTTATCTTCCTCAGATTGAAAGACAAATTAGAACAAATTTGTCCGACGAGACGGGTATGGAATGGTTTTTGAGTTCTCCAGACATACCCTAATGTATCTCTGAGGCCGTTGAGATTTGCTTTCTTATCGCCGAAGATCTTTCCTAACAAACTCAACGAGCACTCTTGAATACCAGTGGCGACACTTTCTTCCTCTAGGCTTATGCCTTTTTCTTCTTTTGTGGATAGGTCGAATTTCTGTAGCTTTGAGATGATTTCTGAGTCCATGAACAACCGTGAGAGGCCTGTAACACCAGGAGAAGAGCCTTAAGCCTGCAGATCCAAAATCCCAAAATTTTAGTGAACCCTAGAAATAGAAATAGGAAAGGAAGAAGGGGAGATAATAGAAAAGGGGAATATAAATCATCAAAAAAGGACTATAGCAGATGAGGATGAAAGTAGATAATCAGAGATTAATATCTAAACACAAATCAAGCATCTGTAAAGAGCTGAAATGATCCAACCGATGGAACTAAGCCCCTCTAGAGAGAGAAAATATCCTACCGGAGGAACTCCGTCCATTTCTTCCCCTACATAAGACGAGTAACATTTGCATTTCGTGACGGATTCTTACATGAACTGTTATTTGTGTGGTATGTGAATCTCAAGAAAATGACTTAAGTAATCAGAAGAAAAATGACAAAAACGAATAAAGTCGAGACACGTAAGGTACGCTCTCCTTAATACGAAATAACGCCGCATATTATCCACGGTTCACGGCTAACGCCTCCAAGATACAACGACATCGATTTGTGTATAGCGGTACTTCAAATACACAAACCTTCGGCGAACAATACTCAAGTTTCGGAACTCTCAAGATAAGAAAGAATACAAAGAACACAAGATGAATATGAACTTTGTAAAAGGATGCAAAAACTCTTGGAAAATTTCATGTATTTGACTATTTCACTTCATGGGTATTTATAGATGTTATAACACATCTCCAAGGGGTTCAAGGCATCAAAAGACACCTTTTAGGACGTGCCTGGTCGATTAAAACCGGTTAGGAACCATTCTAATACGAACAGGTGCTTCAGGGTCGTGACCTCGTCGCTCCCGCGACGCCAGTCGCATTTCACAGAAGATACGAAAGATGGGTTGTCGCGCCCGCGACAGACCTGGCACCCAGAGTGTTGCGCCCGCGATAGGCCTGGCGCAGCTGCACACCAGGAGCTCGTACGCGTTTGTTCGGACTCGGAATTTATTTTTCCTACTTGTCTCCAACGAGCCCTTCTACAATTCTAGCATCCATAATGCTTGATTATGGCTCGTTTACGTTTTACAAACATTTATCAACACATAATGTTTGTGAACACTTACAACATTTGAGTTACTTAAACTCAATTATTCAACATATAACACTTAGAATTAATTTCTCATTCACTTTAAAATAGCTTTTGAGAATTTTCTAAGTCTTCCACTTACGGAAAATGGAACCGTTGAATCGGTACAAAACCAATTTTTTCTTATAATCGCCCACATGAATGAAATTAATGCATGTATGCAATACTTGAGAGTTCCGGCAAACTGTCATTGCATCAGGATAGATACCTTGTGGCTTTGAGACTTCCTTAGTGAAATACTATCGGATACACTAGTCAGTTAGTAGCACGATGCTTTGAGCTTACCGGCTGTTTGTGTGCACCAAAACAATAGTGCTCACACAACAACAACTCTAACAATTTCTTGTTCTCACGTTGTGTCCATTTGGGCCTTGGACCATATCTCGGTTTAGTAAGTGTTCGTTGAAGCGACCTATTTACTTCTCACTTACAAAGGTGATTCTCCTATAAAGAGTATCCTGCCTTACTCCACCCATAGGTATAGGAATCATTAAAAGTCCTCGACTTAACCTCACCACTTAGGCAGATTTTAACAGTTGACGGTTCTTGGGAATGAGTGAAATTTTCAAGTGTTTCACTGAACTGTCAAAACTTAGTTTTCCCATTGAACCAATGTTTCGGGATCATCAAGGTTGGGTTACCGCTAAGACATTTCTTATGTTGTGGATTTTAATCCCATTCCCCTAACCAACTTGTACATTTGATCTCGATTAATGCCTTTAGTAAGCAGATCCGCTAGGTTTTCCTTTGACTTGACATAGTCAACCGAAATAAGCCCACTCGAGATCATTTGTCTTATTGTATTATGCCTCCGACGTATATGTCGAGACTTACCATTGTACAAGCTACTTTGTGCCCTTCCAATTGCCGATTGATTATCACAATGTATCATCACGGCGGGCACCGGTTTTTTCCAACATGGAATATCCTCAAGGAAATTCCTAAGCCACTCAGCTTCTTCCCCGGCTTTGTCCAAGGATATAAACTCGGACTCTATCGTGGATCTAGCAATACACGTTTGCTTAGAAGATTTCCATGACACCGCTCTTCCACCCATAGTGAACACAAAGCCACTAGTGGACTTGGAGTCTTTTGTGTCAGATATCCAATTCGCATCGCAATACTCTTCAAGGTATGTTTCCAAAACTCGTATATGTTATTCCAAACCTCGTATATGTTATTCCAAACTCAAGGTATGTTTCAAATATCTAAGTACCCAATTAAGTGCATTCCAATGGTCATTGTTCGGGTTACTCGTGAACTTACTTAGTTTACTCACTGAATAAGCTATATCGGGGCGAGTACAATTCATCAAGTACATCAAGCTCCCAATTAATCGTGAATATTCTAGTTGAGAAACTGGTTCACCTCGATTTTTAGCTAAGTGTTGAGTTAAATCAACAGGAGTCTTAGCCGGAGGCTTATCGAATGCATTGAACCTCTTCAAGATGTTTTCAACATAATGGGATTGTGACAAAACAATTCCTTCCGAACTGTTAGAGATTTTACTCCCTAAGATCACATCGGCTTTTCCCATATCTTTTATGTCGAAATTATTTTTCAGCATTTTCTTGGTATTAAGAATTGAACCATTATCTTTTCCCAAGATCAACATATCGTCCACATATAGGCATACGATCATGAATGAATCGACGTTACCTTTAATATAGACACATTTGTCACATTTCGTTGATTTTAAATCCATTCTACAACATCACTTTGTCAAACTTTTCGTGCTATTGCTTAGGTGCTTGTTTTAGTCCATAAAGCGACTTAACTAAGCGACACACTTTTTGTTCTTTTCCGGGAGCAACGAATCCCTCGGGTTGTTCCATATAAATTTCCTCCTCGAGGTCTCCATTTAAGAAGGCCGTTTTCACATCCATTTGATGAATCTCAAGGTCGTGCATTGCTGCAATTGCAATGAGAATGCGTATAGACGTGATTCGAGTTACAGAAGAATATGTATAAAAGAAATCATATCCCTCTGTTTGCTTAAACCCTTTTACAACCAATCGGGCCTTATACTTATCAATAGTTCCATCAGCTTTATACTTCCTTTTAAGGATCCATTTACATACCAAAGGTTTGCTACCCGGTGAGAGATCAACCAACTCCCAAGTATTATTATGCATAATGGATTCTATCTCACTATTGATAGCTCATTTCCAAAAAGGAGCATCCGGACTAGTTAAAGCCTCTCGAATGGTTCTCGGTTCGTTTTCTAACACATAAGTTAGAAATTCAGGACCAAAAGACTTAGGTACTTTTGTTCTCTTACTACGCCTTGGCTCATCCTCAATTTGTTGAGGTAGCTCGGCTTCTTCGAATGTCCTTTTTCTCGGAATTATTACTTCTTTGTCTTTACAAGGGAAAATATTCTCAAAGAACACTGCATTTCAAGACTCAATAATCGTTCCATTATGAATCTCCAAAATTTCCGATTTGTACACCAAAAATTGATAAGCACTACTATTGCTTGCATAACCAATAAATAGACAATCAATAGTCTTTGGTCCAATTTTCACTTGTTTCGGTTTAGGTACTTCAACCTTTGCCAAACACCCCAACACTTTTAAGTATTTGTAGGTAGGTTTATGACATTTCCGTAACTCATATGGCGTTTTGTCGTTACCTTTGTGGGGTAATTTATTCAAAATATAATTTGCCGAAAGAACTGCTTCCCCCCACAAATTTTGGGGTAAGCCCGAACTTATCAAAAGTTCATTCATCATCTCTTTTAGTGTCCGATTCTTTCTCTCGGCCACTCCATTAAATTGTGGTGAATATGGAGCCGTTGTTTGATGAATAATACCGGACTCTTTGCAGAGCACTTCAAACGGGGCTACATACTCGCCTCCTCTATCACTTCGAATCGCTTTGATCTTTCGACTAAGTTGATTCTCAACTTCATTCTTATATGTTTTAAAGACCTCTAATGTCTCGTCTCTACTTTTTAGTAGATAAACGTAACAATACCTTGTACAATTGTCTATGAATGTAATGAAATACTTCATCCCCGCTCGAGTTTGTACAAACTTTAAATCACATATGTCGGTGTGAATTAACTCGAGAGGACTAGTGCTTCTCTTCACCGGTTTAAACGGTGCTTTAGCCACTTTTGCTTTAACACATGTTTTGCACTTGTTGTGCGAATCGATTTTAACTTTAGGTAACAATTCCAAATTCACCAACCTTTTAATAGTGTTAAAGTTCACATGTCCTAATCTATTATGCCATAAATTAGAACACTCCAACAAATAAGAAATACTTTCTTTATTCTTCTCCTCTTGGCGGATAACATTCATTACATTCATCTTAAAAAGGTCCTCATCTAGGTACCCTTTTGCTAAGAATCACCATTCTTAGTCATTACAAATTTATCGGCCTCAAAGACTAATCTAAAACTGACTTTGCTCAAAAGAGCACCAGATTACGTGCCTCGACTTTATTCATTTTTTGTCATTTTTCTTCTGATTACTTAAGCCATTTTCTTGAGATTCACATACCACACAAATAACAATCTTAAGACGAAACAACCCCGTATATTACCCACAGTTCACAGTTAACGCCTCAAAGATACAACGACTTCAATTTGTGTATATCGGTAATTCAAATACACAAACCTTTTTGGCGAACAATACTCAAGTTTCGGAACTCTCAAGATAAGAAAGAACACAAAGAACACAAGATGAATATGAACTTTGTAAAAGGATGCAAAGACTCTTGGAAAATTTTATGTGTTTAACTATTTCACTTCATGGGTATTTATAGATGTTATAACACATCTCCAGGGGGTTCAATGCATCAAAAGACACCTTTTGGGACATGCCCGGTTGATTAAAACCGGTTAGGAACCATTCCAATACGAACAGGTGCTTTAGGGTCGTGACCTCGTCGCGCCCGCGACGCCAAGTCGCGTTTCACAGAAGATACGGAAGATGGGCTGTCGCGCCCGCGATGGCTGACGCGCCCGCGACAGACCTGACGCCCAGGGTGTCGCGTTTGCGGCGAGCGTCGCGCCCGCGACAGGCCTAGCGCAGCTGCACTTCGAGAGCTCGTACGCGTTCGTTCGGACTCGGAATTTAGTTCCATTTTTTCCTACTTGTCCCCAACGAACCCTTCTATAATTCTAGCATACATAATGCTTGATTATGGCTCGTTTACTTTTTCCAAACATTTATCAAAACACAATGTTTGTGAACCCTTACAACATTTGAGTTACTTAAACTCAATTATTCAACATATAACACTTAGAATTAATTTCTCATTCACTATAAAATAGTTTTTGAATCGGTACAAAATCAATTTTTCTTACAGAACATACCAGAACAGAAGCTGCGAAATGTCGAGGAAAACTACAGTGCCAAAGTTCGTCTCTTTGAAGCATCATAATACACAAAAGTCAAAACATAGTCTAAATAAATAAAAGAAAAAAGATACGTTCTTCATTTTCTTTTTATGTTGTTTTAACATCCAACAAAACAAACTTGAACTTCAAAGTTCACGAGAAAAATCATAGAACTGGTAGAAATAAAAAGACGAAAAAAATAAACAGTGTCATCTGTTCAAAGGCTCGACGGCAGTCTTGAAGAGGAGAACATAGACCTTATCGATTGAGAAATACAAGAATCCTCCTATGGAATGTGTCACATATGACCCAAAGCTGGTCCCCACCACACAATGCCAAGCTGGACCATATGTCGAGTCGAAATCCTGACAGCCAAGAAAACTTTTTAATAACTTCTCTAGCAATAATAGAGATTTATATGCTGAAAACAAAGTCCAGCCTCTTGAATAAGGAAAACATGAATTCTACCATTCATCTGCAGATATTTAACAAAATCAGAAAAAAGGAAAGGTTTTGTATTCAAATTTATTTCAGCATAATTGATCAAATCTTATCTACGCCACATGAGCTTAAGATTTATGATCAAAATCAGAAAAAAATAGTACTATATGAGAAAAAGGTTTTACCCTTCTTGTGCATACAACCACAAGAATCTGTCTGAACACTGAGCGGGATAGGTGACTACATAAGTCCATAAGAACAATGTGTGATAAATGCACAAAATTAGGATGTTGCACCAAGTTAAAAATCTCTTATCTTTAATAAGAAAAACTATTTTCTTTAGTTTTTGCATTGCAGATAAAAATGTCCTAATAATTTATCAACATATTTAAGGTTCCATCAAGTCTAAACTGCCCCAGAAAATCGAAAGCTACATAAACTGGTGAATCAAGGCATTTATTTGATGAGAAATGCTATAAGTACATAATACTATACATAGAGGTGTACATAATACTAACATTAAGTGGGTCCTACAAAAAAAAATCAAGTGGACCTCACTCCATGTGAGTGTTATGTACACCTCTACATACATTTATTATATACTTGTAGCATTTTTCTTATTTGATGGCTACTGAATCATATTATTGACGACTAATGCCGCTGTAAACAATAAGGCGTATACATGAGCAGTTACGACAAAAAATAAAAAGAAGAGGTTTCGACATGGTATTTTCAACTGAATCAAATAATTTTCTCTCAGGACTCACAATTGCCTATAATCATTGTTATTATGCAAAAACACTCACTTACTAAGAGCATCTCCAATGTTATAAGTGTGAAAGACCATTATTTTTAACACATGTCAATTAGTGATTGTAATGTTAATCCACATTGAAATAATGTTAAAAGACTAAAAATTTTAATGAAACTAGTATCTCCAATGCATCAATTTGATAAAAAGTTATTTGTATAGGTGGACCAATTAAATAATTCATTGATACAAAAAAAATAAAAATTTAAAACAAATATAAAGTAAATTGATGAGTCATCATGTTTAACATGGTGTTAGATATTAGAAAGTGTGTTCAACATTGTCAACATTAAATGACATCCACCTCATCATGAAAGAGTTCATGACAAGATGCATTGGAGAAAAAAATAGAGACACACTTTTAAAAGTTGATGATATGGATAACTTTTTATAATGTCAAAAGTTGCATTGGAGATGCTCTAATAGTCCAGTAAGACTGCTACTAGTTCCAATGTAAACGAAACTAATTGTCACATTCAAGACAAAATACCAGAACATTAAATTGATTGCCATGGATTGGAAATAAGCCTTTTGGATATAACTTAAGTCTATGCAGTTTAATACTGAACTGAAAGTCATCATTCCAAAATGGCCCAACTTAATGTAGATTGGGGACTCAATTGTTAATAATTCGTAACATTATTCAATGTTTAACTCGCAATCACAGCACATAGTTTGTTACAGTCATTTCATTCCTAAGACTATTACTTTTAAAGTTCTTCCAATATTTTCAAGTTTAAGTTTCTTTAGCAACTGAATTACAATAGCTCATAGCATATTCTACAAAATTGGTCAGCTGGACTAAAAACTAAAAAGTGGTCAAAGAAAGAAACTTCTCTGTTGACGTAAAAGGAAAAAAGGTAAAAGGGAGAACTTTTTACTTGAGCTAGGGACAATTTTTGATACTTTTCTCACCAGACTAAGAGCATCTCCAATAGTTTCCAATGGTTTATAGAGTGCTCCCTTTTATTGCTATGTGGCATAATTAATCTTATATGTCACTCAAAATGTCTAGAAGTCTTTCTATATCTAAAAGTAGTTCTAGACATACTCTATTATATTTTTTATTATTTATTAAATATATCTCATCTCTAACCAATTATAATCTTACACATGTTAAATTATACTAAAATTGACATTCACCATTGGAGATAAAATTTTGTAATTCTCTTTCTCTATGTTATACATCTCCCAATGGACAATATACCATTGGAGATAGCTCTAAAATTGCAATTAAGCTCACAAGCAAGTAATCAATCTTATCACTCAATAAGAAATCAGTAGTAGCAGTTTAAAAAATTAGAA